GTGGAGGGGCGAAAGACCCCTCGCCTCCCCGCCCCTCCCCCCTCTCCGGGTCCGCCAATTCAAATGGTCAAAGTTAAAACACCAGCTGCAACCCACGTATGATTACAATCTAGGGGACATTTCGCGTTTTTAAGGAGCACCATTTTGGCCGAGTGGTATTTATTAATTTGCATAAATAAAATGCGCTTGGTTCCTTTGTTGAGCTCAAGCAAAATCGCAGAACAGAAATGAGAAGTACGACACACTGGATCCAGAGTACATGTGAATTTAGCAGTAATAACGTTTCGTTGAAACAGTGCAAAATCGACAAAATGAAAACAAATTTATCGAGACAGTATTATGCAGTACTGTACTAAAAGTCACCTACACCACGTGATGCGCTTTGTCGAGGAAAAGCGCCTCAAATGGAGAAAGGGAACAAAAGAAGTAAAAAAGTCAAAAAATTAAAATTTGTATCTAGCGATATCGCAATCTAGCCCAGGCTGGAACGCACTAGGCTTGCCGGTGCGATCATTTGTTTTTGCACTAAACTCGCAGGTCGCTAATAGCAGTAATAATCCCTGCGCTGCAGCCAAACACTTGGGCTCATATTGACCATGCTTTGGTTTCTTCCGGCATGCAGCAGAATGGGCATCGGTTGGGATGAGGGTGTTGCGTTATAGAGCCGCATGGACCTACACATACATGATTACCAGTTTTTCGCATGAAACTCGGTCGTTCTTTCGTTAAATGCTAGCTTTTTGAAAAAGAAAATGCAAATCTCCAATTCACTAAAAAGTGGAAGTATTGCTCAAGCGGTTGTTTGTGAAAAAAATCCAAATTTGTAAATGAACCTAATGTTCATTTACACATTTGGATGAGGGCGGTTGTACGCTGCAAGACGCACTCGGTTCTGATTTTTCGGCAAAGTTGGGTATTTCGCACGCCCACCTGGAGGGAACTCGACTTCCAACCAGAATTAAGACCGTGCTTGAAAGTAGAATATCCCAACGAATTTTCAGCCTCGCAGCTTATCCGGCAGCCGAAATATCGACTTCGCTAAAAATATTTTTGAAGTGCCCTAAGTCGTGGCGCAAGTGCAAATCGGTACACACTGTATTATTTCCTGCACGGGAGACAAACATCCTGACAAAATTTTAGCCACTGTTTTCCGGCAAGTTTTCGAGTTCGCATGGTAAGTCGCAAACTTCGACGTGGTCGTACGCGCTGCACAAGTGTGCGCGGCAGCTGAATTTGAAATCTTTAGCTCATACATACACAGAGAATATCCATGCAAAGCTTCAGCTTTTTAACTTGCCTAGTTCGCGAAATCACTTCCTGCCAAGGAAATTTGCATATTTTTGGAGGGTCCGTACGCGGGGTCTAGGCGCGTTTGAGGGGAGATTTTAAAAAGGGAGGGTGACACATGGGATAGGAACATATACCTGAAATTTCAGCCTCCCAGCATTCCTGGTTGCTGAAATGAAAGTGGATGACAAAATTCACTCGCTTCCGCACATACACACACACACACACAGCCTCTCGACAATATGCGTTTTTGCCAGCTGTAGCAGCTCTATAGTGCTGCACAGCAAAAATGCATAAAAATGGTCCCTTTGTAATAACAGTGCTGTCGTCAATCAGCGGCACCAACATTAATTATGTATGCAGTTTTATTTGTAAGCTGAACCCAGGTGGAGCGAGGCGGAGCTCCAGATGGGCTCAATAGCCGATCTTCTCAACAAATTTCTTAGTGTCAACACTTTTTGAACCTATCAGCAGAACGCTGCCCACCAACAGCGAGCCTTACGCTTCCACCAACACCGGACCCCACGCCTTCCACCAACAACCGAACGGCCACTTCCATAACAACTTCGGGATTATTTACTGCAGACGGTAAAGGCTCTATCAGCTTCACGAACAAATCGCGATAATATTTTGCTGTCCTCCGAGGCTGCTTCTCGGTCATTCACAGCAAAACCGAAGCCGCAGCCTCCACCGCTTTTTTTATGCGTTTTTGCCTATATGCGAATTGCAAAAACGCATACTGCGACGACCCTATCTGTGTGTGTATGTTTGTGTGTTTGTTCGTCTGTCCGGGTATTTCAACTCGGCAACCAAGCAAGTTCCAGCGCCAAGATTTTGCTAATAGGTTCCCTGGCCAACTGCCATCCTACAACTGCGGTGCCAATTCCCCACGCAAGTCTGGGCCCCGCGTATGAGGGGGTGAAAGTTTTGGCGGGAAAATTGATAACTCGGGAACGGGAAAAGATAGAAAGCTGAAATCTCGAGGTTATGTTCCCCGTCCAAATATAACTCGAAGATTTCAAATTCTGCCTCCAGATGTGCGCAGTCCCCCTCCCCCACCCCCCTCCCCCAGCCTCTCCCCACAGCCCCCTGAAATTTTTTGGCGGAGAAATGGCTAACTCAAGAACTAGCAAAGCTGGTATGCTGAAATTTTCGGGGAATGTTCCCAGCTCATGTACAACTTAAAGTTACAAATTCAGCCCCCAGCCGTAAGTGATTCTCACGTACCGCCCCGTGAAATTTTTTGGCGGGAAAAGCTAAGTCGGGAACTAGCAAAGCTGGGGAGCTGAAATTTCCAACGAATGCTCCTAGCATAAATCCAACATAAATCTATCAAATTCAACCCCCCGTCGTACGCAGGAGAGGGGGAGCGGGGGGGGGGGGGGGGGGGGG